TAACGGTATGCATTTACCCTGAATAATTTTCATTTTTTGGCATAATCTCGATATTATGAGCCTGTCATAAATGACATCCGGTATCGTTCATTACTGATAATCATTTCCTTCGTCATTCCTGCTAAAAATAGATAAAACATCGTTTCTTCTTCAATAATCATGTTGGTTCAGCGCCGCTCGATTTCTATGAAGAACCGATAGTAGATGATACTGTTGATTGTTCTGCTCTTTATCGAATAGTCACATGGAACTCCCACCTCGAGAATGACTCGCAAGTATTGCGTTTGGAATCGCATTTTATCACCTGTATTACGCATCCTATACATGCTAGTCTATTCATTTTTAATCCTTTTGGTGAACCGTCCACTCCAGATTGGTCGAGGGAAGCCATTGCAGGCATGGTGAGAATAATTGGTTCTATTGAATAATCTTCACTTTTAGCGTACTAATTATTAATTGACTTATTAGGAAAATAGGGGTACGCCCATTCATCGTAGTGGAATAGTCATCGCTATTGTAACAGGCAGTGGTTGTCTACTGAGGGGCAATAATTGGACCATGATTCTCGAATTGTGGCAATACAAAAATTTCATTCGTACGGCTGTGGCTGCAAATCGTTGATAGTATTTCTGTATCTGTCGTTACGCCGAGAGAAATATTAAAGAAAAATTACGGAGCGTTCCACGTAATCTGCAAGCGAAGTCATCGTCACGTAAATTCTATACGATCTGTTCGGTAAAGATTTCTCGTCCGCCTGAAGTCTCATGGCTAGCCATGAGGTACCGGGAGGAGGCGATTTTCATGAAACGTTTTGTAATTTTTGCGAAACATTCTCCGAAAATTCTTGAGCATCCATGAATTTTTATGTTCTGAGGCATAATAAATCTTGAAGTTTCATTCAATTTTGAAACTTCTCGAAAAATGACATGTCTTTTAGTATATTTCAGTAACAGAACCAAAAAATTTACTGAAAGAAGTGAATTACGTGAAATGTTCCGTAATTTTTCTTGAATATTTCTGTGTACTGAATCATAAAATGGAAAAATTATGCAATCAATGTAACTGAAATAAATTAATCATTTGTGTTAATAAAAAATAACAATAAGGTTTAAGGGTTAATATGTATGTATTAATATTAATTGACATTTTTATCTTCCACATTTTAAGAAAACTAGATAAACATTGTGTGTCGCACAGGCTGTTGAAAAAAAAGATTTTTTTCTTTCCTTTCTGCGTCCTAATGAAGGTCTTGTATTCGACCGATTCTTAGATTCGCTAATTCCGATTGCAAGTTGTTTAGAATGTTATGACACACGAAGAAATCATGTTTTTAGATCATGTCTGTGTGTATGTGCTGGAAAATTCGAAATTCTACAACATTACCACGAATAAACAACGCGTTGTAATGAGTATTTTTTTTTAACAATCGGAGTCGATTGTTAAATCCACACCAAAACCGCCACATTTTTTGATAACGTCGTTTATTCTAGGTGGTTTGCCGGCTTTTCGTTTTTCTTTCATGAAATTGGGAGACAGATAATGCCCGAGGACGTCACGTACAGGCGATAATAATGACCCCGTTGCGTCCACCCATAATGCCCGCTACATGCCCCGAATTCACTTCTGCCAACTCGTGCCAATCAATCTTTCCTTTTTTTCAAACCCGTTTGGATTGGAAGGGATTACCTCCTTCCGGATGAAATTGCGGCAAATCCGCTCCACCCCGGCGTTATGTAGACTTTTTTTCGTATTTTTAGCTAAAAACTGGATCATAAATCCACTATTAAAAAAAAAACAAAAATTTCGTAAGCAATCGATTAGCAACATAATTTATTGAAGAAAACCCTGAAATTTCGGCTTGCTACTAGAAAATTAATTAGAAATTCTAGAATACCAAAAGTTACGTGTGGCCATGACCTTGAATAAACTCCATCATGAATTGTCAATATTTCAATAGTACATTAATAATAGGCTGATAATCAGGGGAGTTTAGCCAAGGCCATAATGATTTTGACTAATTTATCTACTTAAAAATAATATGGGTATTCATAAAAAATATTACTTCCCTAGGCAAAAAATAGTTCATTACGCAACAAGTGCGTTAAATATTTTCTCACGAGTCCGAAAACCCATATCATACGTGTTTAGTATAGAATTTTATATTACACCGTGCGTAAAAAGAATGCAAGAGTGCAAGAGTGCAAGATAATGAGATGATTTGTTCATCACGATGTGCCGAAAAGTAACTTTTCAGGCAGAAAGGCAAAAAGTGACTTTCTCGCATATTCTTAAGAAAAATATTCTTCGCAACTTATTGTACCGCTAGTCATGTTTGTCACAAACTTCCCAATCGCTAAAAATATATTTTTCGTATGAATCCGCAAATTCTATGACACTGTGAAGAAAAGTGCAATTTTCCGCACGCCAAGCGGTAAAGTGCCTTTTTCCTAATAATTTTGTCGGAGTGTGCGCAAACAGAAAACCGATATATGTTCGAACAATCGAGGGAGAGCAATCCATTCTAAATATCGTAAGGATTATTATTAATTATCCTCATGACGAGCGTGTAAAATGTCCCCCTCGAGTGTGCGTTTAAATCGAGATTTTTCGCGATATTATTATCATCCTCGACATATGGTATTCCCTACCCCACGCCACCTGCTCGAGTCATCCAAAAGAAAAAAAAAATCGATACATGTTTTGACTGGAACGCATTACACAGAGTCCAAAACATTTTTCATACCGTGTCAAATTACAAGAGAATAGACACAGGACAAAGGGTTGGAACGGGGAGTATTTGTACTGGCTTTCATTATTTCCGGCACACAAAAACGTAATTACTTCAAATCCCATTTTATGAAAGTTTTATCATCAAGTACTTTGTGATGGCTCTCGGACTTGGGCCATTAGACTAGGAGGGATAATTAATGTTTGCTCGGGTAAATAGACGGTACGTTCTTATTACATTTGGACGGATGTGTCACTATTATTCAATCGAAAAGTCATCGTGGCATTGATGTAATTTAATTTTTTATGTACTGATGAGGGCTTTCGCTTTTGAATTAAAAATTGTAGCTATCGAAAAATTTTAATGGAATTATTATTTTCTTTTAAATCAAATTAATTTACGGTTCAGCTTTAATTGCAAAATTCGTCTCTGAAAGTATCAACTATTATTTTTGTAATGTTTTGAAGGGTTTAAATAATAAAAAATAAAAACATAAGTGACTTTTCGATAGTTTACACTTGATTTTTATCTGGAAATGATACGAAATGTCATTTAACTTTATTAAATACCTTGAAAGGCTCCGAAATGATTATTTTCGTTTCATTAACGACTAATTACAGAGAATCGTTTCACAAAAGTTTTTTTTGCAACTATTTTTACAATCGAAATAACTTTTTACATCCGGAAAATTCAGATAACAATGACGGGATAATTGAAAAAATTCATAATCATTGCGTGAAAATTTCTTACGTTGCGTCCCATAATTATAGAAAACATAATTTTTATTGAATATTACTCTCCGTGTATAAAATAATGTGAACATTGGAATTTAATCATTACCCACGGATGTACCTAGTATTTTTTATTCTTTCCAGTGCCGTGACTGTTATAACACGTGAGGTATGAATATTTCATTTTCACCGAGAATGGAAATTACAACAATCGGCTTTAACTGCCTTTACCATCGCCAGATTCATATCTCTCGACGTACATCAGTTTTATGCGCAACCCAGTTTTCAAGCGGGAGAAATATAACCCCAGGGGTTGACGAGAACAAAAAAATTAATGTAACTTCTTCCATTCTCTACTTCTCATCATTCTGATTCACCCACATTGAATAAAAAATAAACTATTCATTCATCTTCGTAATTCCAGAATGAAAATTAAAAATTATCATTTAATATTGCAGTCGTTACGTGACATTATCCTTTAATGAGACTGTATTTATATTGGGTGCACGATATTCAACGAATTGAGAATGAATTCAACTCACAATTTTGCATGTGCAGAAAATAATTAATAACACGAATATTTAAGTAACGGGAGAAATGAAAATGAAAATGAAAATGGGAATTGAATGGTCGACCGAGTTCGATCATTATGAATCGCTAATGACCCTCGATTTTTATAGAAATTGTTATCGAAATGAGACATTAAATAAACTGTCGCCTGAGTCTCGTGGGGTTTCTTATCTTTTTACAATGAATGAACATGTGGATTACGAAATGAAAGCCAAAGCTATTGTTGCATAGTTGAGTAGATGGAGTGTATGGGGTGTAATCGAGTACATACACTGAGAAAAAAATTACTTCCACATTAATTTATTTTTGTCGAGTAGCTTACTGAGCACAAATACATGTATAGAAATATTTGCGCGGAAAGCCGCGAAATCCGCGAATTTTCGCGGTTACAAATAAAATTTGTGAAATATATATTATTACTATTAATATTTGATATTGACATAAAATATCAATTTTATTTTGAGAGAAATTAAAATTTTTTGAATTGAATAATAAAATTAATGAAAATTTTGTATTCCAATTGAATTATTTAATAAAAATTTATTATTTAAAATTATTTGAAGAAAATAGAGATAATTTGTTCTTCTTTTTTGTTAGGAAAGAGAAGCTGAAAAATTAGCCGAGGAATCGTCACATATTCGCGATATGAAACCCAATATTCATCATCCGAAGACTCCAGAGACTTGGCATGGAACGGCATTTTATCGACAGCTTAATATTCTCAAAGGTAATAATAAAAAATAAACAACAACTATTCTACCTTATAAGAAATAATTTTAATGTAAATAAAAATATTAACTCTGATTTTTTATCTAAAAAATTACTTTGAAATTTAACAGTAAAAGCGATAATATTAAAATTTGCACTGACGTTTTGTAATCGGGAAACATAATGAGAATTCGCGTAATTTTACTCAGCGTAATGTGGTATTTACTTCAATTTCTGAGGCCTAAGAAATTTTCAGATTACGAAACGTCAGAGAGGGAAGTCTTTGTTCTATCTTCCTCCCCCGCAATAATTCAGCAGATATTCGCGAATGAAAATGACTTCTGCGGTGTAAACATAAACGAAAACCGTAAATTACTCTGTCAAGCTCAGATTACAATTTTCAAACCCGTAATTTACGAGATTAAAAATAAAAATTGCAACGTCAAAACGGTGCTTTCCATTTCTCGAGTCCTAATTTAGATTTTTAATCTGGTACTTGAGAAATTTGCAATGACAATTACGTTCAATAATAGATTCATAATTATTAGCCTTTTCTGCGTAGATGATTTGGTTGATGCGAGAGTGAATACCCATGACGGATTAATAGGGCTTTCACCTCGAATTTTAATGGGAATATTTTGCGACCCGATACAATTGCGGAATAGAGCAGGGTTAATCGTTGGTAATTAGTCGTAGCTAAAGTGTTTACGGAGTGGATAGGGACGTGTGGGCCAGCACGTGTTTGATAGTAAAGTGGTAACGAGGTAACCATCGAGAAAGGGGGAGAGACTTGAAAGCCTCTGGATCGCCCACTTGTGTACTCCAAGCAATGGGGCGGGATTTACCTCATTGTACAATTGCGCACGCGTCTCTAAACCTCTTTACCGCTGTTACACATATACCTGCCACTTAGTCAGTCGGATTTGACCTTTCATTTGCCCTTTCATCTGCCAAATTAATGCTAAAAACCACACACTCACATCGAAAAAATATAATCATCAATCAAATATACTGCACACGGAGACAAAAGTCCCGGAGTAATTCTGGTACTTAGTATACATACAAAAAATGGTAAATGTATAGTTTAGGTCCACCAAAAAACAAACATCTTTGAAATATTAATTTCTCTGACGAAAAATCCATTCTTATCCTCTCAGTTCCCATGAACAACACGAAAGAACAGAGTGAGAAATCACCAGGAGATACACCGAAAAATAATCCTGAGGTAAACTCTGTTGGCCCTGAAATTCCTTAAACTCTCCCTTCCCTCTGCCATCGCTATTGACGTGATGGCTGAGTGATATTAAATTCAATATTTTGAATTGCTACAGAAGAGTAGCAGTAGAGTAGGATAAGTTACTCCTTGTGTTCAGTCAGCAATGGTAGATGGTCGGGAGAGGTGAATTCAGAGTTTTAGTGAAGTGATCAGGACTATTTGCTGAAATCCATCTTTCTGTGTGTCCATTGTCTATAAATGTATGAGCATGTGGTGTCTTTGGGGCCGACACGCCACCACGTCCTCGCCGTGGCCCTGGATAACGCAGAGAGCTGTGTATTAAATGTCATATCTCCCATACTAATTGTTTCCGGATAAAAAGGTGACCAGATCCTCAAAGAGGTGACGGAAACCCATCCAATCAAATATAAAACATCCAGAATGGTTTGGTGGACCTAAACTAGACATTTACTCAAAAAACAGTAAATGATGGCGATACCAATCTTTGATAAAATTTATTTGATACCTTGACTGGCCTTGAAGTCATGTTGTCACTTGATACCAGTAAACTCGATTTCCTGTAAATTCAGGATAATTAGATGCAGAAATCTCAGAGTCATCAGCGAATTTAAAGAGTGGAATACATTCAATGAGAGGAAAAATCAGTTTTCTTTTCTGTGGAGGTCTTCACAACAAGCGTAGATTTTCGCTGGGGCCTCAGTGATATATTTTCACAAATACTCCTCAATATTTCAATTCAACTTCCGTACATAAGCCGAAAATAACGAGTCGTCTTTGCGGTGAATAGAATTTCCGGATTACGAATAGAGTATCCAATGAATTGGAGTACATTCAATGGAAACTGAATATTTCACGTACAATGAATGTATTTTACTCTGTACTTAATGTATACAATTGTCAATTAATCGTTTTGGATCTCTTTAATTATTCATTTCTCTTTGTCTGAAATGTTAAATAGATAATCGTAGAATTAACACGGTGATCAACATGAATTTACCATTTTGCAATCGATTATTTAGAAAATGATTTCAGAGAATTCGTAATGATTGGTGAAGAATTTAATGATAAATTACTATATGATAATTGTTTTGTGGTATCGGCAGGTGGAGAAGCGACAGATCGATCAACACCTGATTGTTCAGCTTGTAGACCCAGGGGAATGTTCTATGGTCAAGTTCACAGTCCGCCTGCGTCCACTAATTAATGAAAAATCCCAGATATTAATTGCTAAACTCATTAATAAAACTTCCAATCGAAAGACAATTTTTCAACAAGATTTTTCAATCAAATCTCTAGTTCTCTTCTAGTCTTCTTGAATTATTCGTAGATACACAATATAGAATTATTCTGTAGATATTAATTATCTCAGTTGTACATAATTACGATAATCAAGAAAAATGCAAATTACCATGTCAAGTTTTTCGCACCGCTTCGTCAGCATTGAGTGGAAACGTTCAATTAAACTATGGAACATGCATAGTGAGTCTTGATTCTATTCTAGTCATTAACTCATATTTTATAAATGCGTGTTATTACGCATCGTGTAAAGTGATAATTATGATGTATTTATTAAGGTTAATCAATGTTACCAGTCCGTATCTTATGTACCACAAATTATAATAAAATCGTTATCGCATATTACTTGAAAATTCATTAATCTCTCGCCAATTGATATTATGTAATTATATAATTCCATTGTCTTAATGTCTAGTGAATTTTTAATGATGAAAATTAAATAATTTTCATTTTTCTTTCTAATTTATCCTGATTTATTTTTTATAGGAAGAGCGTAACGCAATATTCGAGAGATGATTGGCCATTTGTTGTTTTTTTTTTTGGAATCGCATAGTAGCTGTTTAATTGGGGCGAACTATTTAATTTCTCTAAAATCATTTTTTCTTCGAAATATACAGGATAAGATTTCAAGAGAATTTCATCCGATTTAAATTAATATTCTCAACAAAAATAGTTTTTAATTTGTGATTTCCGATTTTGATAAATTGGGTTCCTCTTTTAGGCGGGAACTCATTAAATTTTGATAATCTCCTAAAATCATTAAATTTTTCGTTCTCACAAATCAATAAATTGTAATTTTAAAAATTGTTAGAAGTATAAACACACCTAATTAAATTATTGAACTCTAGAAAATGTTGTTTAAACTGTTGGAAAAATTAATTGCAGTGGTTGTGGTGTTTTTCTCGGATTTAATTTTAAAATAAATGATGAAAGATTTGTTGTCGTTTCAGGGACACGGAAAAAATGAGTTTCAATTACTCATCGGAAAAATTTGTTGTACGTGCAGAAAATCCGACGGTAATCTCAGTCTCTCGAGGAGTTTTGGAAGCGAAGAAATCTCCTGAGGGAGATTTTCAATGGCCCCTCGAGGGAGAATACAAGCGTACCACATACGACAGTACCATTCCCAGGGTGATCGTCAGCAGAATTTCGGATACTAACCACATATGCCCCCTTTACAACGAGACAAGAAAGAAAATAAAAAGCTGCGATTTACTCCAACATCATACAAACATGTATTTTACATTGGCAAGAACCACTAGTTCAACTGGAACAGAAATGAGACAACCAAACATAAAGCTAATGTTGCGGCAAATTGGTTTTCGCAAGTGCGCAAGTTCAAAGCCCTCGGGATATATCATTACCTATTTACTTATTTGCAATGTAAAATGGGTAGACAATGTATTAAATGAATTGACAAACAAAAGCCATTTTTGCAATATATTGTCATGAAAATTTTATCTCTCCAGGGGAATGAGTTCCACCGGAGTAGAAATTTTGTCAGGCGTCACCCAAGGTCTTCATAAGGCTGCCTAGATTGGAACGTAAGGCCCTCAGGGTACCGGCTCAGGTCCAGATCAGGGCTGAAACGTAATGGAGGACTGAGGGACTGAGGTCCTTATCTGGCCATCATTATCAGGTATTTACGAGACCTACTGCGCACTCCATGCGCCGAATTTGAATTTGGCGGGTCAAGTTAACCAATGAGGAATTAGTCCTACGCATTTCGAGATATTTCGACTCGGGCGAACTTCATGTTTGTGTTTCTACTTTCATGATAAGGACTTTAATGATTTAGGCTAAAATTATCAGATGAGCTCTACGATTTCCTCACCAGGACCTTGAAAACAAGACGTAAAGTCAATCTTAGCAGGCAAGCCAACTGATCAATGTCGTGATCAGGTGTCCACCTGACGAACCTGAATGGCACACCTTATATTTAACAGGTATGGCCCTTATCTGACAGCTGAACTATCTTGGCAGATTTCCAATCGCGCAGGTGATCTCCACTATGTATTAATAATGACAACTCAACAATAATAATAATAATAATAACTGAATAAATCAATGAATAATTATCAATATTAAAGAACTCTGTCCATTTCTTTTTCTCTGGAAATTCGATATTTAAAGAAAATTATTAATCTTAAATCGATTATTACTATTGTTATTATTATTATTATTCTGGTCGGAATCGGCTGGAAAAAACGACATTCAATTTTTACAATTGCAGGTTATGATTTCAATGGGAATCCATTTTCAATGTCACGTAAATAAGAGAAAATTTTTTACTGGGTGAAAATAAATGCTAAAGAACTCATCGGACAATGGTACAGTTCTAATCGGGTATTTAAAGGAATATTTTAATTGCGATAAGTAAGCAGCTTATTCTCCCCTTTTATCTTTTCAATTTCTTTCATCGCTTCTCTCTCATCTCTGATTTATCTCCAATGAAATGGGTAATAAAAAAAAAGATATGACGAGAAAATATTATTGGAATCAAAAATTTTTTGGAATAACTAAAACATATTTTTACATGCAATATTGAATTTTTTTGTAATTTCTCGAATTAATTCCGATTTGGAGAAACTCTGAAACTTATTTTATAGTTCGTGTATTCGAAGAGTTGTTATAATATAATAAGAATAATTCTTTATATATATTTTTTAATAACAATTATTATTATATTGTTTACAAAAAAAGTTTTTCCCTCCACAAAAATTCCAGAATAAACAAAGTCAGAACTCAATTTTTAATGATCACTTCAGGTCTTAAGAAAAGGAAAACATTTTCCATTTTGTTTCACTCTCCCCTCCAACTCACCTTTCAAAATGGCAGACTGAATAGAAAACATGAGTTAAACTTTAACTGTTAAAGTACTGATCCAAAAATAGCATGCACGGAACAATTGAATAATTCATGTGAAATTATTTTATGATCCTGGCAGAAAACCTTTCGCAATGAATTCCCAAAAAATGTCAGGTCTCTCGCTTCGATTTATATAGATTTTAATTTTAATTTTGAAAGGAAAACCAAAACGAAAAAAAGCTCAGAGACACTCACAGCGCCATCTGATGCCAAACTCCATCACTTCAAATGCTTAGAGAATAAATTACTCCCGCTAAATTAATTAACTTTTGCAATGCAAATGTATTTAACTGTTTGTACCTGAAATGTGCGGATTTTGATATAGTTGATAAATTCACACAATAAACATTTTTTTACGTCAATTCCATCGATAACTTGCTAAAAAAACAAAAAAACATGGATTTTTGCAATCTATGGGCGTGGAACATCCTTAAAATCAGTCGTTATTAAATCGGCTTAATCTCTTACGATTGATAATCGAATAACGCTTTGAGGAACCCCTAACAATATTTATACTACATTTATGTAATGATTTAAAAAAATATATACTCCTCTCAAGTGAATGAATCCTTCTCCACAATTTTTATGCCAAGGCTCATAACATCCGAATTAATTGCTACCAACAATTAATATATTCTGAATGAAAACCGCAGCATTTGAAAATTCAAAAACAATCGGAGCTGGTGGAGTAGTGGATAAATATAGTTATGAGAAAATATCCAATAGACGATGGAGTGAATACCTTTTGGTTTCTAATTTATAGACTGGAGGGGAATCGACGTGGATCCGTTGTTATCATCAGAACTCTAGATCTCCCCCGGGTAATATCGAATACAATTATTTTGGAAAGAACAAAAAAGCGTACAAAGGATTTTTCATGTATAATGCAAAACTTTATTCCCCCAATGTGGGTTAAATCATGTCGCAAGGTTGGTTAACTCTCACAATCATCCATAAAACATCACATGAATTATTCTAACTTGGTCGGAGTATTGTTATTAATTTTATCAAACTACGGAGCTCTACCAACTCTTTCTCAATTACAAAAGTACTAAAATAGTTAAAAATCTACAATTTTATGCGAATATGAAATCTAGAAAAACAAATCATATAAAAATCGTAACTTCAAGGAGTTTCATGCTTCTTTGGCAGATTCTTCAGTTTTTTCCAAATTTTCACTGTCATTCTAGCTACTTCGTTATAACTAATATGTACAACACCGAAACATATTGTTGTTTCGGGATTATCAAGCCTCTGATCGACCCATGCTGACTTGTTCTGTTATTACTCCATAAATTTGTTTAAAAAATATTCTACAATGGAAAATCTTCAAGCTGAAGATCACTGATTGATTCGTTTCGTATTGAGTACCTCATATAAAAGTATATTCACAAATTGACAGTAGAAGTGAGAAATAATCGAATCGAAGCGAAGATTATTCGTCTGTATTATCCGTCACCAAACTCAAGTGTGAAAAATGATTATAGAGAGCATGAGTCAGAACAGCTCTTCTCAAAGATTCATCACCTTTGATCAAGACATCTCTCTTAGGCAGGACAAATTTAAGACGGAATTTCCTCTTCTCGTCAAAAGTCGCTTGGATCTTGACATGACGATTCTTATTGCACTTCGTGCACTGGAGTTTCGATTGAATTCGCTGGAGCTCCTTAGAGGTTGATCGAGCAATTTTCCTGGCTTCTCGGTAAAGGCTGAGACGACCATCCAGTTCGCCTAGCCTCAAGATAACTTCTCGTCGTTTAATTAATTTAGCATCCAGCGGCTTCATGGGAACCTTTAATTACAAAAAAATAATTAAACTTTTGTGTGGAATTCTTTAAATTTTGAGAGACGGAGCGAATTCCTTTATTTGACTAACCAATTAATTTATATCAAACTAAACAAATCGCCCCATTTTTATTAACTATCATTAAAGAAATATTTCATCATATTTCATGAAAGACAAAATCAATTCTACAATAAAAGAGAGAAAATATTTTATTGAAGTGACATTCTGAGAGGAATCTTTAGTGATTGGGTATTTGGTTTTAATCTAATCGTTGAACGAATAGTTAATAGTGTAATTTGTTAATTAATTAATTGGCCAGTTTTGATGGGGAGTTTTAAACAAGTGCAGATGAAATTTACTGGAGAGATAGTTATGTATCTGGAGTAATCTTTCATTTTCAATCATTCGGCAATTGGACAACAATGATATTTTCGCGGGGATTATATGGAAATTCAGAAAATTTAATTAAAAAATACTTACGTCATTCACAACTGTTCGTCCAAAGTTCGTTATGTTTGTGATGACAAGTCCCACGTCCGTCCAGTCGATACGCGCGTGCATTTTTGAGATACTCTGGAAGAAATAAAAATCAAAATTAAAACAAATAGACAACAATAGATATTGGAGAATATTGAGAAATTAAATTCAGAAGTCATTGAAATTTATCTTAAATGTTTGTTCAATTGCAAATTGAAAGTGCAATTAATTGTGGACCTTATGATTTTACTTGGAGCAGACTATTTTAATCTAGAATATTAATCGATGTATAATATGTTCGTACTTACCGGATGTTGCAGACGAATATTACAATGCAGCGCAGAACCAATTTTATTGCTCTGCCGAGAGATCACGAACTTCTTCCCCTCAATCTTGAGAATGGCTTTCTGTAATTATAAAATAAAAATCAGCACAATGTCTATCGATGAACCAAATGAACCAAGAACCAAGAAAAGTATTAATTGATCGTACATATCCCATGATGAGTTGATGAGAATGACCAAAAGTTCTTGCAGAAGGTCTTGGTGTCGATGAAAATCCAAAAATTTTACTCTAATCGCAAAATTTCACTTTAATCGCAAAATTTCCCTTTAATCACAAAATTTCACTTTAATCACAAAATTTCACTTTAATCGCAAAATTTAAGCAACAACGGAGGCAGGAGGAGATGTGAAACAAAGCAAAACCATTTGTAACATCAAAGTCAATAAATTCTATTCTATTCTATGCAACAACTTGTGTATTCAGATCCGGAAAATATTAGAAAGCACTAACAACGAAATCGGCGATGAACGATGAAGAAGCTAGTGCTCAAGTGACTTCCAAATTGCAACTGTGAAAAATAAAGGACTGACCTGTTTATGAATTCTTGACTTAAGGGCGAAAAAGAAGAGGTGCCAGATATTTGGGGAGCGTCTTTGGGGCTTCTTGATTGGTTGAATATCCAGACTACTCGATTACTTCTGGCGACAGTTTTCTATGAAATTTATTAGGCCAGAGAACTCGGGGGTTGAGGCCAACCCCCTGCACCCGATGTACAGGTGCCCCCCGCCGTCACTACCTGTTTAATCTAGGGCACGTACCCCTTACCTGCTCAGGTGCCCTCCCCCCTTACCTGCCTTTGGGGATATCACAATCAAAGAATGGGACAGGTACTTGAGTACCTGCTACTTTACAATTTTACATCAAGGGACTTCCAATTCTCTCCCCTTTGAATAAAAGACTGTTCTAATTTACAAAGATTCTTGGAAATTTTACAGGGAATTTGGCGTTTACAACAATAAAATATTGACATCAATGACAAAAGAACATTGTGGAATTGACTTTGTGGTTCTGAGTCTGGATTTTAGGCGACCCAAATTCCCGAATTCCTATTGTCATGAAAAATGTCAATGTACTATAATAAACAATACGCCTGCATATTTTGAAAAAAAACTTCTGGGAATCATGTCAATTGTTAAGAATACTTAGTATTCATACCTCGAGTTCTTCAAGACAATTTTCCGATAATATCGTTGAAAACTTTTGCAGTATTCCTACAAAATTTAACACGTGCGCTTAATAAATTAACAAAATGATTCAATTCATTCGCGATTTGTTCAATTTAAATTAATTAACACGCATAACTTCATGCATATTTATATAAATACGCAATAATGCTCAAAGGAATATTTAATTTCCAGGAAAAAATTATCTTTATCGTCGGAATTTTTAATGTATAATGACGAATTAATGACTAGAAAGTCTCTCACTGATTTTCAATCGACAAGTCCAGGTGAGGTAAATAAAAATAAAATAATATAAATAATCTTACACATTCGCAATTTAATGACATAGAGCACACTTTATTCCTTAATTAATAATATTGATTTAGCATTGACCGAAATTTATTCTTATGTTTTTCCTCTCATTTAAATATCATTACGCTCTTCATTACATCGGAGTTCGATAATTATTAATTAGATTTAAATTTAGCAGTATAAGTTTAATTAATCGTAATGTATTGTCTGAAAGTTGCCACTCTGTTGCATCCAACAGTTCTCAATTACTGATTTTCACTCAATTAATAAAAACGCAATAGAAATTGAAGGAAAATCAATCAGTCAGGGGAATGTTAAATAAACAATTTCCATCAATAATTTTTAAGTCACAAAATGTCTTGACTATTCTCCCTCCTGAATAATTCATCCTGCGATCGACATAATCGGATGTCAACAAAAAAAAATGATGAATAATAGATAACCGGAGATTAATTGATAGATTAATTTATTGTGATTTCTATTAAATAAATTATGGATGTATTGATAAAACCGAGGATGCAGAGTGACATGTTTTTTTTTTCTCATTTTAACGCAGCGAACCGAACGAACCGGCGTTCTTTCGATTGCCGAGCAGTCCCCCGGGACAATCACCGAATAAATTCAACGTTTCACAAAAAGAAAATATAAAACCAATCTCAAACATTTTCAACTTGAAAAATCAGCAACGTTGAATTTATCTGGCTGCGGTCTTAAGATTTATAAGTAAAAAGGGCGCGAGACTTTGTCACTAGAATTCCCATCTCCATCAACTCATCATTCTCCTCTCAAACCACAATTAAGGTCTATAATGATTTTTCAATCGATTTAAACAAACAAATAATTGTGCAACTCATCTATGGTTCATCTGTTAATAGTTTGTTCTTTAAACATTTATCTTCGTTGATTTGTTGGGGAAATAATTTATTCAGGGAAAGCACGAACTCGCGACAGAGTCTCTCGCCGAACAATATTCAACATTTAACAATAGCCAACATTTATAGAATAGGATACCAATTTGTAATTCAATTCATAAATTCATTTCATTTTTTTTTCAATGTTCACGTTGTCCTTTTTTAATTATTCATTTGTGATTTAAGGAGATTCTTTATTCCATGTAGATGCCTATTTAAAATGCTATGATGAAGGAAATTTCCTCATGTACTTCGGTTCGCATGCGAACATAAAACTCAGACCAATTTGACAATTCCTCGCGTATTTTTCATCCTCGATTTGTTAAGTGCTCAGTGTTTCTCAAATCAATGTCGATGTTAATGTCAACTCCCCGTAATTATTCAAAATATCTGCCACTGCTCTCGCATTCTTCCTCACAACAATATGTCCTGCCTTCGATATTTCATTTTAATTGACTCTGTGGATTTTTATTTTGTTCTCTTTCGTTTATTAATTCAACATAATTAGATATTAGTTCCTTTTGACGGTTGGTTGAAGGCTAATGGACTCGAAACAGGCGGGCCGGACTCTCAGGTACTTTCACCAAAACATTTATGTGATATTAGACCGTTTTTGGGAAACAATTTTTAAAGAGATGCAGATTTTATTTAAACGAAAATTTCCTATTTTCCTTCAAACAAGTGAAAACATTTTTTCGTTGGACATTTCGAAAAGGAATTTGTTATTTTATTTTGTTAAGTTCAATTCGGACTTTTGTTTGCAGTTAAACGATTTTTATTTTTCAAAATATTGTTGATAAACCTATATTTTCAGGAGTGATGCAATATTAAATTAATGATTGACGCATTCTGTTGGTTTGGGAAAGAAATACATAAAAATATCTATATCTCTTTAAATAAATTAACGTCCAGATGTACTTGTCACACATTGAGAAACACTGGGCTTCATCTCGTAATGACTTCATCTCCTCATCCACCGTTTCTAATTAATCATTAATTTAAACCGTAAAAGGACTCTTAATTACTGACTCCAGTCCTCTCAAAGTATTCCCAGTAACAACAAAAACGGCGATGACAGCGAGATTAGTAATCAGTTTATATCCTTAACTAATTAATTCTTCAGTTCATTAGAAAAAAAAGAACAAATTTGAGATTGAGTAAACTGATGGTACGCATTGGATTGATAAATCGTGAAAAATGTCAACTAAAAATTTCACTCCAATCAGTAATTTCCGTTCAACGATTCATTCTTCTCTCAATCCCTTCATATCAAGGATTGTTATCCCTCGGTCAGATGCAATTGACTAGGAAAGTCTTGTCCCTTCAAAGCAATCATTTTCGTTATTCACTGAAATATTCAATGAACTGGTGAAATTGCAACAGAATTAATTTGTTTTTCAACATTTCGTTGAATATTCGGTTTTAAAATTATCTCGTTAATGAGTTGTTCCATAAAATATATCGAGTGATATTCTTGTAGAGAATTCCAGGGATCCAGAACTCGATATATTTTTCGTCTTATCATCACGACGAGTATAAAACCAACAGAATATATAATTACAATTCACCACTTCACTAATGAATATTTTCATATTTTTATCTTCCTAAGTTCAACCATCATGATCACCACCATGAAATATCAATTTCTTTTATGTATACGTGTATATGTTATCGATATATGCTTTTAATAGATGCTCTAATGTTTATACGCATTTCTCTGTCAATTATCTCTCTCTGTCTCTCAATTAATTACTGCTCTTTATAGATTTGTTTCAATTTATTTGTTAGTTTCTCCGTTTGTCGCTTAATGCTCAAGAAATATATCGGTCGAAGAGTATATCTACACCACATGGCAACAGATACAATGATGAAACCAAGTATTTTTATTTACTTTCATTTTTTTCTTCATCGTTTTTGTTTAAATTCTGAACTGTCAACTTTGAATTTAAATTAAGGGATCTGGGATTGTTGTGTTTTTTTTTTGGATTGTTCGGATGATTTATCTCCACGTATTTCAAGGGTACGACAATTTAAAAAATATATTTCAATGATTTAATATATTTCAGTGGATTAATTAAATCTGCACTTAAATACGTGGAGATATGCATTATTCTTCTGTTTCAATTCGCAAATTAAAGATATTTTTTTTATTTCCTCCATTCTGTCTTTAATGTAAAGAATTTACTTGCACTCTAGACAACTAATTGATTTCAATGTTACTAAATCACTAATTAACTAAGCATCAATAATAATTAATACATCTAAACAAATTACATGAAAACATGCGACAATGAATGTATACAAAAATGTCAATGATTCAATGAATTAACAAAAAAAACTTAATTGTTAATTGTTACTAAATAAAAAGGGCAGGGGAGCTTAAACTGTGGAAGAGATCCTTGGCGTTGGCTTGAAAACTAAATTAATATATAATTATATTGTACAAATTACAATTCTTCTACGAAATAATCTGCCACATCTAGAGATTTCCTGCAGCTCATCACTAAGGAATGAATAAATCCGAATCACTAATGGCCATTTGCCACAGAGTCTACAAATTCATTAATTTGTTAAACTGATTTTTGTGTACACGAATGGAGTGAGTAATTAAAAATTCAAGAACACTTGCAACGAATTGCTGAGATTAAAAAAAAATTATTAGTAATTATTATTGTTTTCTCACTCCATTCGGCTTGATTATTTTATCAGTGTCAAAATGTCTCTTTTAATTGTTCATTAATCAACTAAACAGCTAAATCAGCACAATAATTCATTGGAATTTCCAGCCATTTATCCTCTGGGAAATACGTTCATGATATCCAAGTGGGAACACTTTTTTTTTAAATCTTTTTTCAAGGGAAACTCACAAACTTTGACTAAGAGCTGATTTTTTAATAACTATTGATTCATTAAATCTTTAAATTGCTAGCGGCAAATTATTTTTAAAAGATTCTACGCATCTATTGAAATAATTTTTTTTTTAACAAACCAATTAATGGCCGCATGGGCTATCGAATATAACGTTCGATATGAATTTTATATTGTTAGTGTTAAATATTTCTAATTTTGGGTCTCAAATAATATTGTTGAATCAAAATAGACTGTCTCATATTACCAATGGGTAACTGCATATTTTTATTTTTTTCATAATTTCATTTATCTCGTAGTGCCGCCGTCTCTCAAATTTATCTTTTTTTTAATCATTATTTGTTTACAACTATTTGAGAGTTTTAAAAGGTTTAGGAATATTTCACACTAATAAGACGAAATTCAAACCAATAATTACGTTCAATCAACAGTACATGTCATTAATATTAAAAAATTGCAAAGAATATTTAGCAGAGGACCCACTTGCATACCCTGAGCTCAACCAAAACCTTGTAATTTTCAATGAAAAAAATTGAAAGAAAAATATGTTCAAGTGTAAAACCTTTCGGAAAAATTCATCAAAAAATTTCAATAACAAAGTTTCTGTTCCCTCCATGATAATTACGACCTCACTGTACCTTTAAAGGGTATTCTTTGCTCCAGTAAAAGACACTATAACATTTTCATATATATAATATGTACATTAACATGCGTATATTGTTGGACTGGGAGAAGATTATTGGGAGGGTAATAACGTTTTCAGGAGGGTATATAATTTCTAGATATAATTGTTTCATATAACTTCTTGTTTTTTGTTTTTTCTCATTTTTTTTGAATACTCGAGGCTCAAACGAGGGTAAAATTGGTTTAAGCTTTTGTTTGAAAACCATAAAACGTGAAATTGTGAATGGTAGAGTATTTAGGCTACAGGAGAGCTTTTATCCTTCCTCACATCGGTCTTATTAGATTAATCAATTATTTTATTCCTCGTCATTTCTTCAAACTAATGATCCATATGCAAATTTAACGAATGCTGGATCTTTGGCTTTGCACGTTTTTTAATTATGAATCTATGGCAACGGTTGTATCACCTGGACGTAACTGACTGGGAAATAGCCAGTCCGACCATTCACACTTCCCTCGAACCAATTTTCGTCGATTTTCTGGATTAGGGTGATTGTGTCGTTTTCCTAGAATTAAATAAAGTTCATTATTGATTGATTGACATTTATTACATTTATTAATGCATTTTCAATGAATTTTAATTAATTTTTGGGTAGCGTTTTCTGTTTTGGAAAGGAATTAAAACTTTTTAGTTAATAAATACTTATTCAGAAGTTTTAGTTTCTCATCGTCAAACAAAAATAAACAGATTTGCATAAATGAATTATTTTACTGAAGATTCAGTTAAATTTCAGAATTTTGTGGACATGAATAAATATTCACTGACAAATGACATAAAATCATTATCGAAATTCGATATGTCATGACCTTTTCACTGAACTATCATTAATGTCACTCCCCAGAAAATTGTAATTTATTAAAAAGAATAAATTCATGAAAATTTCTCGGTTTTCCATTAATGTTCGTGGAGAAATGCAATGAAAATCACAATTATGGTTGATGATTCCACAGAAAAAAACATAAAAAATATCAGTGTTCTTAAATTCCCGGGAAACTAAAATATGGCAACGATTATATAATAAAATTCGCCCAGCAAAATTGAGACAGCAATTAAAAAAATTTGATTTCAGCGTTAGATCACCGGTGAAATAATGAATGAATGGGGGAGCAATAAAGAGAGAAAAAGGGGCAATTTATTAATGTCAAGGCGATAATGAGCCATTGAATGGGTCAGTGGAGCATGGACGATCGATAGCAGACGAGTTAGGGACACGCAATGGTCTCGGGATTCTTACGACCTTCGTGAAAGTGATGGTGCAAATGGTCTTTCGCTTACGAGGGGGATTTTTTTTATGGGGAGATTTTCTTTTACTGCCCGAGGGACTTGATGGGTTCGGAGAAAATTGATGGAACTCAGGCGGGGCTTTCAGGTGATGATCTGTGATTGTACTTTTCTCGGAAAGCGACGGCAGTAGACACGCGGATAGTGTGTGACTCCAGCGATCATTCAGGATAAGCAACGCTCAGTTGGGTTAGTACTTGGATGGGTGCTCGCTTAATCACACCTCTCTGCGTGTAGACTGCGGGTGTTAGAGACGGGTGTAGAGAGCTGCTGTGTTCATCGAGTGATCGAGTGTTCATGACTGATGAACACAGCAGAATCCCTGCATTACGGCTGCCCTGAGATTTTCCATGGTTTCCCTTAGTACAAGCCAAATGGGTGCAGTAAGAAAAGTCGGCCGATGACACCGCAAAATAATGAGAGGATAGTAGATGATTTTCTCAAACTTCGAGACAAAATGAAATTCGTTCGAATCTTATGATATCTCCAAAAGCTATTCCAAAAGACACAAAAATATCACGAGAGTATTATTAATACCTTGAATCCAAGTTCACCAGGATTTTCCGGCTCAAAATCATAAAGAGCTGTGCAACAGGGCTGTTTAGGCATCGGTGTTCTCGCTGGTGATTTGCTCGGTGATGGTAATGGTGATACTGCAAGGATAAACCAGAATTAGGGTACATGATTTTTTCAACATTAATCCGCTTGTGCCAGAGAGAAACAGCTATAACGTGGGAGGAACAGCGGATCAATATTCGCCGACGAAATCTGAATGCTGTTGCCAAAATGAAGCGCAGATCCTCGGATTCGTGGTGGCAAGCCAATATAATCAACATGCTGTATTTTTAATTCCCTATCCCTCGTATTTTTGTTCAATTCAATCAATATACGGGAAGGATCAGAAATGTTAGTAAAAAGATGGGGATGAGGATGTGAATTTCCATGCAAAAATGTCAAACATTAATTGCATTCATTGTATTATTATTAATTAAAGCATTTTTTGATGGATAAAATTGATGGATTACACCATCGCATTTTAATATGTAGATTTAATATGTAGAACGTTCCCCATTGTTAAACGCGATATTTTATTCCACGGGCTATGCTGCGAGCTATTCAGTTCATTTCGATTAGTCAATTGAATCCCGAAATTTTAGTCGAGATGCAGTCTTTGTTGCAAATTCTGATGGAGAAATTAAACATTAAAAATCCGGTATTCATGGCACATGCGGTGAATGCTTTAGAGAAAATAATAGCGGCTCCGATTATTCTATTTGTCGAATTTAACCACTTGTTTCTATCCGAAAATACTGCTATAAAATTGTAAAAATCATATGTACATTATTGTTTAAATTATTGTCCCTTTTTTCCTAGAGTAGAAATAATGGGTTTTTACTACAATGAAAAATCTATCGATAATCTTCTCCAAATCTAGTCATTCCTCAGATATTCATAAAATGGTAAATTCACTACGGACTAGTGAAAGAGCGGGAAAACGGACTGCATTGAAAAATCATAAATTTTTTTCAGCAATTACATAATTTTAATTGAGAAGCAGCAATTATTGTTGCAATAGTTTTAATCGCTGGATAATTATGGATTGAATTATTGTTTTTATCGTTTCGCATCGCAGCGATTATTGTTGCAATAGTTTTAATCGCTGGATAATTATGGATTGAATTATTGTTTTTATCGTTTCGCAGTGGCAATATCCTTTCAACATTGAATTACGGGATAATTGACGAATAATGTAATTAACGAGATGAACAACATTCGAAATAATGCGACAGCAATTTCTGTCTCAAATTTTGCGCTGTGGGTAATTCTGTACGTAACTACCACTGAAATTGAATATTGTCTAATTTTCAATCAATTTCATCATTTCCATCATTTCCATCATTTCCATCATTTCCATCAACTCCAGGGAAATTTTGGAAGAAAATTCGGCGTTAAAAAATTAATCTCTTCACGAAAATTGGCTTATTAAATTTATTAGTCGATTTTTTCTCAAAAGTCTGATGTTAAAGTCGATTTTCTCTCCTTTTATCCACTTTTATTACCTATCAGAATATTACTTAAACAAATTACAACTGAAAAAGTTATTGATTTAAAATATTACATATAAAATATTAAAATTAAAAATGTTTCAGCAAAACACATTATTTCGAAGCTTTACAAGAAAAAGGAAAAAAACATAATAAATTCTCATATTTGGTAAATAATCGTCAATTACCCCCGAACGTTTACTGGTTACATCTGTCCCTCAATGTACCAATAATTTTTAAATATTCCAAATAACAAAATAGAGTTATGACCGATGTCTCGAAGATACTCCACAACATCACAGACCGAATGACGAACTCAATCCATAGAAATCATCAGGCAGTACTTCGTATGGTACACAAAACGTATCGATTTCTTAACAGTAATTCCCAGCTCGCTCAAGCAAATGACAAAAATCGACTACACTTAGAGATATTGATTTAAAAATAAATGAGGGCAACTGTAATTCGCCAGCATGATACTTCTGCGCAGTAAACAATTTATATGATAATCTTTCCATTTGCAATATTTTTAAATTTTAATATTCCGACTTGTAATATTTTTTTGCAATATTTCGAGAGGTATATTATCATTGAATAAAATTTAGAGCAGCTACCAACGACTTATGTCGCATGCTTCATGAATATAGTACGTACAATGAACAAAATGATCATTTGTTTAAAAAAAAGAAGAGTGCCGGGTCGTATGGACATATTCTTTTCTAAATTGTTGCAGTAGCTATTAAAACTGTCGAATGTCATTCTCGAATAACAGAGTGACTGTTTAAAATAATAAGGCTAAAAATCGCGTAATTATTATCAGATTCAACGTCAAATAGATGAAAGTACATTATTATTACCGATTTTATTGCATTATTTGGAATGCTTTTTTATTTTTGAAAAATTCCACTTGACAGTCTATCAATCGAATAATTTCTAACTACCAAATGCATCTATTTATATTCATTTAAACATAACAAAGTATAGATAATTAAGAATGGAGCGATTTTCCAAGTTTATCCCGCCCTTTCGCTACTCTTCATGGTAAAAAAAAAGCGGACATATTCGATTAACGATTTGTGCGAAAAGTTCAGTTTGAAAGTAATGCAATTTTAGATGATTAAAATCAATAACTGGAAGTAAAATGATATGAAAAAAGAGTGATAATTTGTACTAGAACCCCCATGCAAAAATTACCATTAGTAGATGTCGGCGGATTACCAGCGGGGAAGAGCTCGAGTTGTGAGCGCTTGTTCTCACTCGGGACCGGAGAACCAGAACGACTTGCCCCTGCGATTTATTCAGGATAGGACATTCAAGTATGCGAACAGTTATACACAAAATTCACAGTAACATTGAGTAATATTTGTTGAATGTTTTCTGTATATTGTGTGTTATTTAGTAATTATGTGGAAGAGTGAGAATTTTTCGCGAACAGTTGAAATAATTGGGAAAACCACGAAAATGCAATCAGGGATAGAGTTGCATGGGCTTTAGTGAGAGGCAATCATAGATTTATGGAGAATAGTGGAAAAGATCAATAGATATATCAGAGACAATTTTAACAGTTAGACAAATACAACCCCATTGTTAGGACATCTGTACTGCTGTGTAATTTATGTGTTGTCTTTTTACCGTGCGGAAAGAAGTTCCCACCGTTCATATGGTCGAGTGGTAGCCCTTCGACATTCAGATCAGCCAGTGTCTTCGGGACGAATTCCAGTTTTGGCCTGCTAGCTGCCTCGTCTTTCCTGAAGAATAGAAATTTATATCATGAGTGAAACAAATTTGAATCATTCGTTTTTACTTTAAAAATCGGTGAAACACTTCCATAAAACATTTCCCTACTTCATAAATTCGTTAGTTTATTCGTAATTTATTGTTTGTAGCGATTGATACCGCGGAATTTCGTTTTCAGATCAACGAATGACTGTCTAAAATTATAAGCGTATAATTGAAGGTTTTAATTCAGTGATTATAATTATTGCCAGTCTATTATATTTATAATTATATTTCTAAGGGATGAACCACAACATTTAATTCATTAATTATCATGAAAAATTGACTTACTTTTCTAAAAGGGTCTCAGTTAACACCTTCAGTACTTCAGTACACTGTTGATGATACTCAAGAAGAGCTTCACTGAAGGTCGCCAGCTGAGCCACTTGCTCGACCTGAATAAATCCCACATACTAATTACAACCAGAAAGCTCTCCCAAGAGATCACATAAAAAAATCTTACTGAACAGACTCAACAAAAAAATCAAATAAATACTAAAAATCCTCGTCGAATAGAAAAAAAAGTGTCTTTACCTCGTTCTGGTTGATAAAAAGGAAAAAGATTTTTATCTTTGTATTTTCTGTTCACATATTGAGAAGAATAGTAATTAAAAATTAAAATTGACACTCACATCGTTCTCCAGTAAATTAAACATGCCCATCTGTGCAAGATGGAGGCTCTCAGCGAATTTCTCCTCAGCCTGTCGTATTTCATCGTCTGAAACATGAGAACCTGTACGCAAACGGTTGCGTCCACGTTGTTTCCATTAAAAAAGTGCACTACTGGGAGTCAACTAAATTACAGGTGCCCTGATCATCAACAATCAAAAAACATTATTTATTTTCAATTAAGGTCACGAGACTGATCAATGAGAGAAATCTCTGCTAGCAGAATACAACATTAAACTACTCAAAGTACATACACGTGTATTGTACCTCATGTCAGTGTTAGCATGATTACATTGACAATCAAAAGCACTACAAACGTGCAATTTCAGACTCGACTGTGACGTCAAACAATCATCGATCGTATTTAACAAGTTGTCAATGGGTTGAGTCATCATCAATGTCTCCATTCATCCAAAACTTTACAACTGTCTCATTAATTATCCAAGGGATCAAGTTTTTTTAAGTTTCACTTGAACTTTCATTCAAAAGTTCACACCACATGGAGGTGTTCTTACTGCCTAAATGTCCCTGAATAATTGATTAATAAAAAAGTGTAATCTTTCAACTTTACAATCAACTGTGGTTGCACACTTCCTTGCAGCTGGTTAACTTTGTTCTTTAATTTTTCTGGTGTGGCTGTGCTGGGTTGGGAATTATTGATGTTCATTCGGTTGTAGACATTTGCCATTCTGTATGATACCCATGGGATGGAGGGACTCGGTCCGTTAGTTGTCAGGAGGTCTCAAAAGTCATTTGTAAATGGGGGTAAAGGGGTTTGACACGCAATTGGTTAAAGAGAATATTCAATGTACTATGGTAAAGTCTACATCAGTGCATTAAACATTCAGTCCATTCAGGCGAATTGAATGAATTACTTTGATAATTCGTTCTGCTTGATTTAAATTGCAGAATTCAATTGAAATAAATCTACAGATCTGTCAATATAAAATGGAAATGTATTCGTTTGATTCTCCTATGGAGCCTCTCAAGCAATAAAACAACAACAGATAATATAGATCAGTATAAAAAAGGGTTCAATAATACTCTGGTCTACAACTCTTATCTACAACTCCCTGAAAAAACAACTCCACGATTAGTTGACACCAGATATTTGTCAGCAAAACTCTAGAACAATTTAGGAACAGGAAAAATGAGTTGTCATCTAATTAGATTAATTAATCCAAGAAAATGTCCGATGAATTACTTCGATTATTCGTTATGTTGAATTTTAATTGCTGGAGTGTGTACTATTGTTTTTTAAATTTATTACTGAATAGAGATTTGTTCGTTTGATTATCGAATGAAGTCAATTGTCTACTGCTTAAATGAATAAATCTCTTTGATATTTATTGAATTATTACGAGTGGTTATGAAAGCTGAGCTTCAACGATAGAATAATTCATAACTACTTGAGTAAGAGTTCATTGAACTCATGAAAGCTTTCTCGAGCACATCAACTTGAAACGGGGCTTGTGGGAAAGAATGGGGTAGTCTCTTCTACTGGTTCTTCTTTTTTGTTTATTATTAAGTTTTTTATGGATTATTCACTCCTGGGGATTGTCACGTACCCCCGTAACCTGGTGATGACCTCGCAGGGCTACCCATGTGTGGACTCGCTGATCTTTTGACTAGTGCTGAACAGTTTCAGGGAGAATAATCGACAAACAAAAGAAAAAGTGCAGGATTATTCGTGTGGCATAACAAGTTTCAGGGGAAATCATTCCAACTGCAGAAAACTAATACGAAATTCTACATTTGTTCGTTGCCCAGGGGTATTTCATTCGATAATTCATGCTGTTCTCGTTCCGTGCTTCAATCAATTTATTGTCAAGTTTCTTGGGTTTGCCACTCAGGTGGGGGAGTAATTGAATTTGAAAGACTTACCTTTTGCTTGACGTCTACGTTTGCAGTCGAAGTCCAAGCGTCGACCTTGAAGTTTCTTCCGATGATGCTGAAATTATATTTTATTCGATTAAATTTCATTTAATTAATCTACATTTTATTTGATTATTCAAGTTCTTCGATTTAGACAATTAGAGACTAAAGTCACTGGTATAAAAAATTAGAAACATATGATAATTGAATTCGAATGGGTTTTGAACTTCGAATCGCAACATTCGTTCGAGAGAACAGAATTTCAGTGGGAGTATGATGATGATAAATTTGTCCAAGACGTGCACTGGAAATTTCCCTCGGAAAAGGAATGCTTGACGTGAGACGTGTACCTTTCATGTTAACTTGGGAATATCAAAGTACTTCGTCAACTTTTTCTCGTTAAAATACTTCTCTACATTTCTACGTGAACATCAGGGCTTCCCTGAGAAATCCATTCGGTTCCTCTAGGTTTCCGAACCTTTCGCAATTTCGCCATTACTCAAACTTCTACCGTGGGGAATTTGATTTTTTAATTGAACCTGTGAGCTTTTAAAAATGATGAAACAATCGGTAAATTGCGCACCACAAAAAAATACTTAAAAAAAAATAAAAATAAATTTGTTTCCACCGAATTCCATCGATTTTTAAAATGTCCTTCCACTGATTTATCAAGAAGTATTTTGAAAATACATATTAATTCTAAAATAGAATATAGCTTGATGAAAAAGTTAATATCTCCGATTTTTACAATTTCCCTAATCCAATTTAATTAACTGAAATTGACTATTAAAATCAACAAATGTATTCCTGCGATGGCAAAAGAATCATTTTGGAAGTGATTGTTTTGGTAAAAGCGTTTGTTCACCTGGAATAATCGAGTATAGAGGAGTGCAGAGTAATATCGGCATGTTTTTATTTAAATAAATTGAAATAGTGTTGTCGCTTTATCAGCACACTCAATGAATTTCCATTATCGATCGAGATATCCACCGAAAAAACACTGTGCAAATTTCCAAAGTGATCTTCATGCATCAACTGCGGTCAAAGATTGCAGCATTACCCTAAACTTTTTTAATAAATTCCCAGTTTCTTACCATGACTTCTTTAAGATCTTTGGTCTGCAGATGGTGCAGTGGTTCCAAAAAGTTCTGCTTTATGTTGTCGTCAAGGGAATACTTCACATCAGCCATCTGCTTCATCGCTTCCCCCATTTCTATCAAAGCTTGTGCTAAAAGAAAAAAAAAAACAAAAGTCTAATTATCGCGAGGATCACCAAAATTCCTAAAACCCTTTCACACCGTCTTCTTGGTTTTCATCAGATTCCTGACAAAATGGAGATGATTAATAGGCAGACCACATGGAGACATTGATTCGAAGGGATCTGAGAAGTTTACACAAAAATAATTAAAAATACACAGTTAACTATCAGTAACACCTGACACTCCATTTTCATTCAATATTATTATTGACTATCAAATGTATTCTTTCCCCCCATCCCGGGGCTTGTACAATGTGTATTTTTAATTATTTCCCTGTAAACTTGGTAGATCCGTTGAAGTATTTCAATGCAGTATTTCAATCTGCCACCCTTCACCAGATCTTCCTCTTGTTTATCATTATTTTTTTTTACAACCATTGGAGTCACTTCTTCGCCACAATTTGAAACCCAAATTTGGAAATATTTTAGGTGGACGATCCAGAGTTTAAAGGAAAGATCACGGTTTTGTGGATATTCACCGAATATACTGTCCTCCCCCATCTTCTTTCCATACAACAGCATACAGTCACCGAGAACACCTTCGGGTTGTGGATAAGTTGAGGCCTTTGCCTGACCACTTAGCTTGCTAATTCCCTTGACAGCAGCCATTTTAGCTCTAGCCGTTGGATTCGGCTGGAGAAATTCCTTGGTCTTCATCTGGAGCTCTTCGACGAGCTCAACCGTGACATCAGTTTTCTATTAAACCAGAAAACTCGGATTAGATTAGTTCAACTGAACTTGAAGCTGTTGTGACAGAGTAGAATCAAAATTTCGTAGACATTTGATGAAGAATTAATCTCGTCTCTCATTATTCTATTCGTAATTCTCCGTCAGAAAATTAAATTTCATTCATCTTGGAAAAATTTCAATTTGCTAATTGAATTATTCTTGCTCCATCCACCGGTTTGTATTTCCATGGGACAATTATATCTCGAATAGAAGAAAATTAATCAACTCACTCTCTCCATGTCCACGAAGTCTACGTCGAGCTTTGTGCCTTCTGCACCACCCATTTTCTCTGTCATGTACTGAAAAAGAGAAATATTAAAAATTTGCGTCAGTCATGCGATTGCGAACAGTAAATGGTTGAGACATCGTAAATTAATTCATTCGGCTTTTTCCTTTCAAATTATTTCATATTGTATTTCCTGTCCCACTCATCAATACCTAACGAGAAAAAATCGACAAATCGACAAATCGACTGTAACAACTGGAAGTAATCCCTTAGGATCGAACATATCCATAAATTATCAATTAAATAAAATTAAAATTATCAATTAAATTAAAAATTACAATTTAAATTTTGCGATTGCAATTCAATTTCGTGACGTGAAATATTGTTATGAAATAATATATTATGAAATATTATTATTTATAAACAAGCCGTTATATATAAAATTAATCAGGAGGTTCAATGGAAGACGAGGGGAAAAAATCGATCGTAAGAATTCATTCAACATTTTATTATACTTGACCGATAAAAAATGTTAAATTTCCATTGAATAAATTTTACGATCAGAAGTAAAAAATGAGCGATTCAAGTTAGATGGCATATTTTTAGAGAATGTTGAAAAATGAAAAGAGTAAAAAAACAAAAGTATAATTAAAAGAATAAATTAAATTCGCAAAAAACACGGGAATACTTTTAGACTGTCTCCAACATTTCTTGGTGAAAAAAAAAAAACAACTGAGAAAGAGTTGAAAAGGTTTTTCCGCAAGTGCTCCATTTTATCTGGCTCTCCTCCATTACATTTATTATATATTATATATGTAATATACATGAATTAAATCTGCGGTAAAAATTACAATATGTGAGGGATAATTATTAGTATAAATATTTCTCCCTGTACGGGTTGAATTATGAATTTTTATATTAAAATATAAAATTATTTTCAGGATCACGAGTTGCTGTGAGCGATATTTATTGGAAAATTGAAGGTCAAATGTGAAAAAATTAGGGGTTGAATAAAATTTCAAATAAAAAATAAAGGAAAAATGTAAAATTATATTTTTCTTCTTACTGATTTATTATTGAATTAATGAAAAAATAAAATAGAGAAAGCATTTGTAAAATGTAACGAATGAGTTACATGGGTTTTGTTTATAAGGCTTTATTTATTGTTTATAGATGGAGAGCTCGTTGGAAGGCGATGAAATGAGAAATGAAGAGGCCGAGAAAAATCAGAAACAGAAAGAGGTGCGGGAGAATGTGGGGGTGAAGTTGGAGACAGGTGAATACGCTGATACTATTTTATTGGTAATGCGTGGGGTGTATTTTCCCGGGGATTTTGCAGAAGTATTGTAAGTACGTGTGGGTTGGGTTTTAGCAAACGACGAAGGAAGCGTGAGAAGATTTGGGAAATACGGGAAGAGGACAAAACCACTGGATGGATCAATATGTTCTGCAAACGGGTTTCGTGTACAATGCAACGTTGAGGTAGGGCTTACTGGCTTTTGGTTCAATCATCGGAGCTTTCGAGAATAATCCAATGTCAATGATGCAGATTTGGGATAAAAGTGACACATAATTTATTATTTTTCAAATCACTGCCGAAGTGGTAAACTAGATCGATGTGCATTCTGTTTGATACCAGTTTTTACCCAATATCTCAGAATTGAAGGGACATAGTGAATTTTTTGCATAAACATTTTTTGTAGAAAAAGATGAGAGCTAAAGAAAAGGTATTTATGAAAATATCATTATCTCCCTTGAATCTCGGGAAATCGGCGGAAAACTGGTCTGGAAAAAATGCACTTTCATTATTTTCTGACAAAAATCGGTGTCCTCTCGAAGTGGGATAGAATAAATATTTTTTAAAAATAAAAATTGGATAATCCAGTTACTTTACAACCTTGAACACTAGCCAATGTCACCCCTTCCTTCTCATAAAAAAGAAAAATCTTCCCCTCAGGGCGCCACGAGTCTTGAGTACTTGCCAGAAGGGTCAAATAACGATCGTTGAAGGTCTGAAAGTGACGCTTCATCCTGGATTAAGACGAAGAAAAGAATGAGAAAGTCACCCTCCAGTTTGACCATATCAACCAATCCCCAGTAAATCACGACAACTTTTTCTGTAAATCGTGTGAAATAATATACCCAAAGATAAGACCGGCGGAATCCTTCTCCATTCACTACATCCGATCACTCCCTTACTCCCTCCCTCCCCTTTCTATCTCGTCATTTTACGTCCAGCTTCTTTTTTTTAAGAGAAAAAAAAATCAATTGAGGAAAATTGCTCTTAAAAGAGATCATCCAATCCAACTCGAAGAGTCTCGATAACGATTCCAGTAAATTGAGATTAGGGGATGCTGGGGTGATGGAGACCCATTGAAAATAGTTTTATCCCTCAATTTCACATTTTTGGATGTTTAAACAAATTGAAATAGATGGATTAGGTGTTTATTTATCAGATGACTGATAGACTGTCGATTTGGATTTTTCACAAATAAAAAAACGTAAATAATGAAGTTTAATTTATTTTTAGGCTTTATTTATTAAATAAAAAAATAAAAAAAATATAGAATGAAATGAAATAGTCTTATCCAAAAGATTTAAAAATAAAAAAAAATAAAATAATTTAAAAAAGAAGACAATTAAAAAATTAAAAAATTAAATTAAAGTAAATAATTTGAAATAAAGTAAAATAAAATAGTCGAAATTCCGAAAGATTTTTTCGATAAATAATTCACTCGTATCACGAACCTCATGATTCGTAAATTGCCAAGAAAATCATATCTCATTCTAAAAGAGAAATAAAAATGAAAAATAACGATAATTAAAAACCCATAATAAAAGTGTAATTACTCAAACAAAATCTAGCTGAGAAAATGTACTCCCAATTTTTCATTTCTCAAATCCAAAAAATTTCAATCTAAAAACTACTCGACTCTGCAAATTGCTTTGTTATTAATTCATTGTTCATCATTTCTCCGAGAAGTGAAAGATGTTGACTGAATTGTTTTCTCTCAACGCGAGATAATTTCCTTGGAACTATTCTATCTCAAACGAGATAGATTGTCTTTAAAAAGTGTTAGACTGAATTTTCCTGTTGGAAAACCGAAATGACTTGATGAGTTCACCCCTGAGTTGTACACACGAACACCCCCTTTTATCGTACGTCGAGGATCGAGTGCCCATGACCGATATTGTCCCAAGCTTGACCTATTTTCTATCTACCCTTCTAACCTCCATTCCTCCATCCAATACTTTGACCCATATAAAATTCAATCCACTCTATCGCATTGTTTTATCCACTCATGTTTATTTTTTAATACACCGTGGAGGCGGTGCTAAATAACTCCAAGTTCATTTGGTTATCGGAAGAAATATACTGCATTGAGAAAAAAATTATTAAATTAAAAAAAAATTGTTCTGAAACTAACACATGAAATTAAGGTACAGTCGTAAACATGTGTGGTCGCTTGGGCTGAATATTAAGTCAAATAAATTTGTTTAAAACAACTAGTTGGAATTTCGGAGTTCAATTTTAATTTTAATTGTTTGGGAGACTTTTCTAATTAGTATAGTACAAATTTGTAATTAGTATTCGTTAGAATATGTCCGGTAGTGCAATTAATGTAGAAAAATATTTTTTAACTTTAATAAATAATAATAATAATAATAATAATAATAATATATTTTTTAAATTCTCAATAGTCAGTGATACAATAGTTGATGCGATAGAATTAAATAATCAATTTTTATTTTTATTTATTCTTATATAAGTATGTCATTAAGAGTATATTTATTTGTTATTATAATATATTTGTTGAGAAACAGAAAATGGACGGGAATCTATCAAAAGATTGAATTAATAAAATAGGTACTCATTTGGAAAATATTTTGGATTGTTTGAAATGGGATTTAAGGGACACTATCATTTCGCAAACAAATAGGTTCACAACGTTTTACGAAATTTTTCTCTCAGTGTAGATTTAAAAAACTAATAGAGGAATTCCATTACGGTCTTAGTTTTTTCTGTCAGATAATTAATATTCTTCTCATTAATATTCAATAACTGTAAGTGAATTCTCAATGTTGCCGGGTTTATTCAGTTTAGGATAAAATCGTTAACAAAAATTCCCATTCTCGTAAAAAGTTCATTCAGAACCTCAGAATTTTTATAAATTTTGTCTGCCTTTTTAAGAATATCTTGAACTTTAAAATAATTTTTAAATTTTAACTTTAAATCCTTTTATGAAATTGGGTATTAATGAATACTTTATTGCAATATTTTTTCGACTCACTTGCATTTTTTATTTACCCCAGGGAAGTGATATTTTGTAATGATGACTTTATTTGTTTATCGAGAAGAATTTCGACAGCACATATAAAAAATAAAAGATCAATTTTGATCATATGATAAAAATATTATAAATTGGTTCAAGTCTTTTTTCGAATCTGGCTGCTTAAATCCCGATTTTTTTCGAATAACAATAACAATTCACAAACCATCATTTATGCACAAGTAATTTTCCACAAAAAAACGAAAAACTGAATAATTATTAATATCTGATGAGAGAAGAATCTAGAATGCAGTATAAAAAGGCAGATTTTTATATCGCAAGACATTGTTTAGAAAATATAATTATACATCATATTATTGAGATTATATAAACGCGTAAATAAAACGTAAAATTTTAAATGAAAATGGGATAGACTTGTGAAAAATGTTTCCTGGATTTTACTAGTCCCAACTTTCGATTAAAATCCTTGTCCCATAAATTTGAAAAGTTTTCAACACCCCCGCAGAGTATTGGGGCTGTGTGATACTTTCATTAATGGTACGAAACACGACTAGAGGGGAGAGGTCATCTCCCGGAATTACTCTAGAGCCAAAGTGACCAGAAAAATCGTGATACCCACGCATGTGAAACACGAGAAGAGCAAGAGCCACTGGAGCACAACTCCCCATTTATGTGGTATTTCGTTCGATAGTCACTGGAACTTTAGCGAATTTCATGAAACTCAAACTCGTTCCTCATCACCTCTCCACCAGCCTTCCTGCTAAATTGTTTCCTCCTATCAAACGACGCGATTCGGCCATGAGCAACGACTAAAGTGCTGGATCGAATTTCAATTTTTATTCTATTTTTTCCATTTCGTTGTGATCGTTAAAATTTTTATTTCCTCTTTCTTTTCATTATATAGTATAATAAGTTTTTTTTATTATATATATAATAATATTTTCTTTTTATTATATAATATAATAAGTTCTTATTATATATATAATGAGTTCGAAAAATCAATATTTATATTATGCATAAATAATAAATAGTATTAATAATAATGGAAATCATTTCCTGCTGCAAATATATTCCATGTAAATGTCGGATACGTACATGATATACATATATACGATTAATTATGCGCACATGTATTTCAGAAAAAAATGCAATATAGCACTTATAATTATCGATATATTTTTTTTCTGTGCGGGTATTCAGCGAATATTTGATATGGATTTTTTCGAGAGTATATGTGCATATAATTAATATATATTCCGTATATATATATTATTTTTCACGCGAGTATGAATATGGCAACTTTTCCAAACTTCATCTCCAATTAGGTGGTAATGAATCTTAAATTGAATTTTTTTTTTCTCATATGTAAGTATTTTTGAGACGTGGTCATCTTCATTAATTGAAATTCAATTATCTAATTAATTAGTTCAATGATTGAGTTTTAAAAAAATCATCAGAAAATATTTAAATGATGACTTGCATGAAATATGAATATTTAATGGAAAATTGAATATTTAATAATTAAATTTGTTTTGATATCTCAATCGGAGAAACGTTTAAATAACAACAATAACCGTTTAAAGAAAACAGAAAACAATGGAGTGAGGGAAACACCTATTCGAAAACGAATCCCTAATTTCGTTGCAAAAGTAACTACACTATTTACGTGAAAAGAGAAATTCTCCACCTGTTCTAGATTCAAATTTTCCCATGCTCAACGGAGACTGAAATAAATTCTCCAGGGAAATTGAAATATTGTACTGGAAAAATCCCAAGGTTATCAGGGAAATTCATAGATTCATCCGATTCATAGTGAAATTCCTGGGGATTAATTTGCGAAATTCATATGAATATATTACGGAAATAATTGCATGTTAATAAAATTTCCAGTGTCTAACATTAGATAGCATTAGAATTTGCCCAGAGAATTTGTTTCCGTGGTTAAAATATCAAGACTATTTACAGGTAGAGTCAATAATTGAATGATAGTTCAATGATGAAAACTGTTATTCCAATTTCAGGGAAAAATTTCCGAAAATTCACAGATGATTAATTCATTATTTGGAATTCTATTTTTGGAAATTGTTTCTCTGTATCTTCAGGGACAGATACGAAATATGAATCGTTTATTGAATTGACATGCTTAATTGTTAGAATTGGAGATACAATTGAAATTTATTGCGTCATGTCCTAAAATGGTGGATTTAGTAATGTCAAGAGAACTTTTTGTAGACCAGAAAATTTTCTACAAAATCTTCTCATTAATTTCGATTGAACTCTTCACCTTAAAGGTACGAAATAATTTTAATAATAATAATTAATGAATAATTTAATAACAATAATTTTAGTAGTTTCGAAATTCGTTTCGATAATTAAAATAATCACAACAGTCAAAAGTTTTCATTTAAATCAATAAATTTTCTGTAAATTAGCGATATCTGTTCACACCGTCACGTAAAATTGATCATCAGAAAGTTATTGACTAATAAATAATTGAGTTCACGTTTGCAACAATTTCTCCCCTGAATTATAATTAAAAAAATACACTTACCTGATTGGCTTTGTTTATTTGTTTCTTTAATCCAGCGAACGCCATCTTGACTGGTGATATTCCTCCTGGAGTATTTAATGACCAATCTCAGAATCTGTAAAAGAAAAAAACTCAAGATTAGGATTCAATTTCAAGAACGCAAAACGTTTTTCTTTATATCTCTAACTTTTAGGACCGGTAAATAGCACAAATGAATAATTCCCAGAACAAAGACTCGGTAATTCCAGGGCGAAATGCAGAAGATTAAAATCCAGAGATTGTTTTTAATTGAAAAATTAATCTGTTCATGTCTATTGAAAGTTTCTACTATAAAGTCGTTCAAAAGAGGGATGAAGAATTCTTCCAAGTGCTCCATTGAATACGCGTCACCTATCCACCCCCTTTTCAGCAAAAATAATTCCTCAAGACCTTGAGACTTCATGCCTGCTCCACACAAAAGAGAAATGTGAAGAAAAGACTTGCAAAAATCCGAATTAAATTCCTGCACTGAGAAAAAAATTATCTCCTCAAAATATCCATTTACTACAGCGAATTCTTTATATTTGAAATATTGCATTTTTCAAGTAACAAATTGTAATTCATTCCTTAATGTCAATAATCGATATCAATTAATATTAATTCATGCACTTATTATATTAATATTAATTAACACGATCGAGTTATGGATTAATTTATAATAATGATGAGAGCCTAACGGAGAATTTGCAAAGAATATGTTTCAGCCGCTCATAAATTTTTGGAGTTTTTTAAAAATTTGGGCGATAAAAAATTATAAAACGCTCATTTTTTCCAAAGATTCCGCAGGGATTCAGAAGAACATGAAAATCTACTGCAAAAAATGAAGAAAACCGTTGAAAATGGAATACTCCTCTTGAGTAAATGGATATTAGGCAAAAATATATATTTTTCGCAGTGTTATAATTAATTTCTAATTTGCAGATCTTACTTTTCACTGAATATCGTTCTCTTCACGGTCGATGAGACACTTGCCACCAAGTGTATAGTCAGTCCGATTGAATGCGCCGGTACGTGTACTAAATTCGACGCTATTGTATGCTCCTCTCAATAAAACTGAGGAAATTTCCAATTACTATCTCCCAAATTCAAAAAACCGATAAAAAAACGCTAAAATACTTGATAATTCAATAAAAAAACGAATACAAAATTCTCATTAACAGAAAGTTCATTTGTAAATTCACAAATGAATTATTAGAAGCATAACAAAATATATATATTTATTATTATAAATAATCCAGAGTATCATTCAGAAATGATGAAAAATAAAATGAATATAATCTTCAACCCCCGTAAACCTCCCCTTCTTGAGGGTGTCCTTTCCAGGAACGAGGAACCCTGAAGATAAATATTATCCAAATTTATCGATTTTTATTTGTTGATAACAAATAAAAAATTTTGAAACACAAATAAAATTCTCAATTTTGTTCTTAAGAAAAACGGATAATCAATTTTCCGGTAAAACTCATAAAAATTCTCGCCGATTGAAAAAAATCGACTGCTCCCCCTCCCCCTCATCACTCAAAAAATTCGGCAAAAATGATTTTTCCGCCAACGCCCAAGAAACAATTATCAATCTTCAACTCTCAACCTCATCAACCCAAAAACCCGACACACACTCGCGAATTCGTCCCACAAACACCACCACATGTCATTAAAACCCGAAATCGGGATTAAAACTCGCCCTAAACAGCTGAAATATCTCACCTGAACGTGAAAAATCCGAAGTCACAGCTCCAAAATTGAAAAAAAAAAAAGAAGAAATCGCCCTCAGCCCTCAAATATAATCCAACTCAAACCGAATGACCACTTTTTTTTTGTAGCACCCTAGATTATCGATTCGCCCAGTTAAACCTACGAAATAAATAGGACAATGAAGGAATGAAAATACAAGGGTAATGAGGATAATTTGGAGTAAGGCCTAGTCCGCGTGGGGTACCGATTGACAGGAGACAGTGTCTGTCGGGTTGGTTTTGCTGTGGGTTTGTACGCGAAAAGGGGGTTTGTATGATAGAGCAAAACGTTGAAACACCACTGCGCCTTACTTTTACTCTTTCCCCCACTTCCTCGTCACTCTAACTAGGAGAACGAGGGGTTGGAGGAGGTTTGGATGTGTGTCGGATCGATAACCGCGCAGAGACCTTCCTCCCTTCACTGGTCACCCCCTTCACCCCCTTTACCCCATCCACCGCCCCCCTTCGACACCCCCCAGCATCTGCCCCACAATGCCTCCCCTAACTCACCGGATCCTCCATCAAGCAACTCACACTCGATTATTCAGCTGAACATGTTTTCTTACGTACAATTCGTCAGTAAATTCAAGTTTTTTCAACGCCCGTTAAAAAACGTTCACTTTCCCGCACGGGTTCGCGTGCGAAAAACTCAGGGATCGTATATGGAGTGCATCGCAGACAAGATTTATATACATTGTTTTTTTTTTAGTTTTACGCACTAGAAATTAGTTTTACACACCGCTTTGGATTTTACACACTAGTACTAAATTATTACAGAACTTTCTGTTCTGACGTTGTGATCAAAATTATAATTCAGTCCAGAAAAATATTTTCGACAAATCTGCACGGAAGTGAGTACTTTCCGTCCTCATGTAAAAAGGTGCTACCAAGCTTGCAACTGCAACTTTCCACACTAGGACGGAAAGTATTCACTTTTCACACTAGGGCGGAAAGTGTTCACTTTCCTCCCGCTTTTCAGACAGCAAAATATGAAGTTTTCTTTGCAGACATGTTGAAAAATAGCATGTACACCTTGAGCGGGAAAATCCTGACTTTTCGCCCTTGATGCACAATATACTATTCACTGCAATATTCTACCCGGATTTCATCTTAAAATTGAAATACTCCCTAAATTTGGGATTTTTTTCTCACAGAGAGTAAATGAAAATTCATAACTTATCTATAAACAATTTATAAATAAATTATTTATAAATTGGTTACGACCAATATTTTCCTTTTTCTGTTCACACTCTGTTTTTTCTGCTTTCCACTCTCCCTTAAAACAACGGATAATTATCAAACGTTCGTAAATGCCATTCCTGGGATGATTTCATCATCACGATAGGGTGAACCCCAACGGAACACGCAAAACTATTCTAAGGTAAACTCCAGCATTAAAAAATCAATCTTTTATTAAAATAGAAATTGAAAATACGGGTTTACTCGAAACTACACAAATTTCCAATGAGCACAACCGTTTTACCATCCAATCGGCAACTTTTTAATTAAAAACTCATCAATTAGTGATTTAAAACTTTCTAATAGTGAATTAACAAACTGTGTATTTAATATCAATTTCTATAAGCTGATATATCAATCAAAATATATTATTCGATGGAATAACCTAGATGCAAATGAAGTACAGCCCGTTAAGTGATTAATATTTACATATTCATTAATTATTGTGCGTCATTCGGTTCTCCCATTGAATCTGCGAACGCCCACTATTTCCCATGAATTTACCGGAAAACCACTCAATTTGAAAATAAACTCCACAATTATTTGACAATGGGGAGAGGGGGGCACACATTATGAATAATTAAATTTCTCCTTCAGAATTTGCCCTCTCATTCTACCGGAAATCTTCATTGATAGCCGCTCACTGCAAGTAATTAATTTACTTTGAATTCATCACTAATTATTGGCTAGCAATTAATTCTCTTGACGACCAGTCGATCGTTTTCCTCTTATTGATCTCATAATATCCTATTTGTCATTTATTTTCAGTGTTTAAAATTTCTTCTAAGGAGATTAAATTTATCTCTACTCGACAATTAATTGTGACATCAATTTGCGCTCATAATTATTCCATTCAAAGGTAAAATAAACAGATTGAAAGAAATTTCTTGATGAAGTGCAAATATAGAATGAGTAATCCAAACGCAAATTAATAGCTAATTATTCAGTGGAGGTCCCACTAATATTCCGTGAAACATCGTCAATGTCAATTAACAATTTCCTTCATCGCCAGTAATTTTCTGGAAAAAAAATCATCAAGTCTCTTCTCGACTTCGTTATCTCCAGATATAAAATATCTCATTCGTACGCCTCCACATCGGAATCACCGTCGAACATCCGTTCACTCTCTCATCCTTTTCAGTCCCTTCATCAGCAAAAAAAAATTGGAATGACAGAAATAACGTAACGAGAAAAGGAAAAAAAAATATATTCACCAGAGAAATGAGTGGGAGTTGAATTAATCTGTGCATTTGAAAGATCATGGCTTCACCATCCCGAACACCCGGTCATCTCCCAATTAGTAATTCTCCTGCTTTTCCCCTCATTCAGTCTTTCCTGTTTTTTTTTTCGTCAATCAAATAACCGCGTTTAATCGATCAAACGATTGAGAATCGTTAACAGCGGTGATTGGTCGCTGCTCGAGACCTTGAAATAATCTTTGATGACTAAATTCTCCCAATTTTTCGCTCGCATCTGTGAAATTTTTCTCTAAATTTCTTGCTACCCGGGAAAAATAGTAATCAAAGAGAAAAATGTTTATAATTTTTAATTTCTTTTCTCTCGTATACCCTTTCGGGTCTTTACGGTTAGTTGGTTCCCTTCCCACCCCCCCAACCCCCTGTACCGCATTTGCTTGAAGGGAGGGAAAAACCTCATCTGAGGGAAAAAACCTGCCCAGGTACAGTCGTCCTTTTGACAGGACTACCGCTCGGCAGTGGAACCGTGAGATCAGAGCGCTATAAATTTTTGACCGCCGGTGCCCGGGATCGAACCCGGATCTCTGGCATGCTAGTCTAGCACTCTAACCGCACGGCCACTACCGTCGGTGAGAAAAATGTTTATAATAAATAGTATTTGATATCCTGGTATATATAAATAAACAATTGGTTTGGACGATCTTCAATCATTTATTATTTCAGCTATAATTAAATAATTATGACGGAGAATTGCAGTTATTAATTATTGATAAGTTTGGATTAGAGTGATAAGTCCTTCAAAAGTCAGCGGTGGAAATTATTTATAATTATTTATTATTATTTATTATTATGTTTTGGTCATTCAATATTGATAATATTTCAAACAAAAATAATGCGTTCCCAATTAAAAGTCCATTTAACGGAAATTTAAATTAACAATTATAATGAATAATTACGATTGTAATTATACAATTATTCCATTACGATTTCTGTTGAGGAAAAAAAATGATTTCTATGTGAAAATGTTCCCCGATGGTACCACAAATAATGGAAAACATAATGTTTATTGATAATCATTAATTTGAACATTAATATTCATTGATAATGAAAAGAATGTTCTATTGTTTATTAGAAAAACAGGTAATTCTTTTCGATTGCAGATTATCCGAAATCTATTGTCAACAGACAGAATAATAAAAAAATAGATATATAAGGTTTTATCCGGCAGGCCTTTCGAAAATTAATTCAGCAATTAATTCATCAGCCCAAATGTTAATGTTTATTATTACTCATAACGTGGGGTCAGGGCATTTTTTCCTTGACTTCAACTTCTTGATGAAAGTAAATGGAAATCGGCATGAATATTGACATGAAAACACTAGAAACGTGTCATCATATAATTATAAAAACTGTAGTTCTGAAACTTATCTGTCATTACGTAAGTTATCGAGATCATAAAAGGCATAGATTTTCCTTCCTTTGGAAACTCTTTGGACTTTAATGAAACGTTAATTATTACGCGGAAAAAAAAAGAACATCTTTAAATCATTCCCAGAAAATAAATCATCACAAGATGATTTTCGGCGAAAAATTTTGGACCTAATAAATTCCAAAGCTAAAGAAATTGTTAATTAAGAACAGATTTCAAAAACAAAAATCCCTTTAAAATCGAGGAAAAATTCGATCCCGACATTTTCGTCAGGCAATCTCATTACTAATTATTACTTAAAATAATTGATTAAAATTGACTCAAATACAGAGGTTTTCTCTCGGGTTTTCCAGAAACTTTTCCTAAAACCTCTTGACGAAATCATCTAAATATTTCTATTTGTCATTGAAAAACAACACGAGAAAGAAAAAATATCGATATTTCCAATTTCTCACTGGTTTAAACTCGATCATCATCGATTAATCACCAATAATCCAACAAACACGAGCACAAATACCTCACGATTACGTGAAACGCTTGCAATTTCATAAGAATAATCTAAAGGTCAAATTAAACAGATGCTCCCCTTCCAAATCAGTTTTCATTCGCTAGAGACTAAAATCCTATTCCACTTCACTAGCATTGGCATTAAATCATCACCTCAGTGCATCCAGGATTGTTCAAGGTCAACATCTGCAGGGTAATTTAAAAGCCAGTAACATTGTCCAGACGTAAATTAAAAATAATATCAGTGAAAATGATAGAAATTGGAGTTAAAATCGCATTGATAAAACGTAGAGTGTAATAAAACACCAGAAAAATTGGAAATTGGAGAGGAATTCGTGTTGCATTGTGTTCAACAGGAGATACAGAGATGAATGACGATTAATTACGTATCATTAGGGTATTACGAGTGGAGGATATTATGGAGTTACAAACAGAAGTGAATGGAAATTCCGATTGGGTATTGAAACAGTATTAACATTCGTGAGGAATTCCGAATGGATATTCCACCTTTTTTCCCTCTGTTCCATCGATTTTCAATGAAGATGGGATGAGAAAAAACGGTGGGACGTGCCAAGTGGAGCATTTTCTATATACGAATTCATGGATTATAATTTTTCCTTGTTTTCTAGTTTCAATCATCACCAGATACCCTAAAAAATACCACTTAAATATCAGTTTAATTAATCCACTTCTGTCAATTAATCTTGAGTCAATCAAATCCACATAAATATTTGCATTATAATTATGTTGATTTTCTTCTTAATTCACTTGATATTAATTTTTCTCAATTTATTGTCGGCATTCGACGCTTGAAAAATTTGCTGAGATGGAGAAATAGTTTTCGTTTGAAATTGCTCGGAATGAATGCACCAACCAGACGACCCCATCATTCCTGATTGGCCAATGAGATTAATTAATATAAATTAGAGTTTTTCGGTTATTGTTCGAAGGGGGAAAACCGCGCGCTCGATCCATTCCATGGATATTTCGAAATTTATAATTTTAAGGGGGAAACTTAAGGTTTGGAGGAGGGATTTTTGAATTTTTAAGGATTTGGAATTAATCCGAAATGTTCATGTCTTGATTATTTGGTTAGGGGTGAAAGGGATCACTGGGGGAAGATGGAATCTGATCCGGATGGGGAAAACTTGGGGAAAAGAGAATAAATTGAATTAGTGATTGAATTACTCACCGTAAATCGATTCAATCGGCTGAGATAATGTATGCAGTGTTGAACACTCGGGTTCTAACCTCCCACAGAGACCCACGGAGATTATATTGACAAGACTCGGTTCAACAGCTGTTGGAATGCTTTCTCAAAATACCGCGAGACGTCGGAGAAATTGTCAAATTACCGGGAGATGTCGCCAATAAAAATTCAAGGAAAGGCGCGAAACTTCTATTTTGAATTTCTGCTCTCATATATAGACAAAATTGACGTTATTCCATTTTTATAAAAAAATAGAGCGTTTTTGCGTTTTGTCTTCATTATATTATTGTTTAATGATTTATAAAGGTTTAAGGTGCTGCGAACGTTTTTTTGCATTTTTCCTAGATTTTTAAAAGGAAACAAAACTGTTGAGAGAATCCAAAGAGAATTGACTGAAGTAGAGGCTCAGTTCTGGGGGTTTGATGGACCTCACCGGCTTCGTAGTACTGCACCCCAAGAGAGGGACGGCGCCACACGTAATGAGGGTGTCGTCTCGTCAGCTGACTCGGTAACTGCCTCAGAAGCAGTCCCGCTGTCAGAGGAACCAGTCAACTGGGTGAATTTTATTTTATGTGTTACGAAATTGGTATTCACTGAAATTTAAAAATGAAAAATTTTCAAAAAAGTATCAGGGGAGCATGAAAATCGAGAAGGGATTCACGGAAATTTGAAAATTCGAAATTTTTGAAAAAGTATCAGAGGAGCATGAAAATCGAGAAGGTATTCACTGAAATTTGAAAATTCGAAATTTTTGAAAAAGTATCAGGGGAACATGAAAATTGAGGAGGTATTCACTGAAATTTAAAAATGAAAAATTTAAAAAAAAAAGTATCAGGGGAGCATGAAAATCGAGAAGGGATTCACTGAAATTTGAAAATTCGAAATTTTTGAAAAAGTATCAGAGGAGCATGAAAATCGAGAAGGTATTCACTGAAATTTAAAAATTCGAAATTTTTGAAAAAGTATCAGGGGAACATGAAAATTGAGGAGGTATTCACTGAAATTTGAAAATTAAAAATTTTCAAAAAAGTATCAGGGCAGCATAAAAATGGAGGAGGTACTCACTGAAATTTGAAATTTCGAAAAGTATCAGGGGCGCATGAAAATCGAGGAGATATTCACTGAAATTGAAAAATTAAAAATTTTCAGAAAATAAAATTCACCCAGTCGTGCGGTCCCTCTGACAGCGGGACTGCTACTGAGACAGTTACCGAGTCGGCTGACGGGCAGACACCCCACCATTGGGTGCGGCCCCCTCTTTCTCTTGGGGTGAGATACCCCCCCAGAACTGAGCCGCTCAATGGGGGTTTGAGTGACCCCACCCCACTGATCAGTGCCCCACGCATTGAAAGAGGGGGTATTGAAAGAGGGGGCAGCACCCAATGGTGGGGTGTCCACCCGTCACCCGACTCGGTAACTGCCTCAGTAGCAGTCCCGGTGTCCGAGGGACCGATTTTATTTTCTAAAAATTTTTAATTTTTCAATTTCAGTGAATATCTCCTGGATTTTTATGCTCCCCTGACACTTTTCCAAAAATTTCGGATTTTCAAATTTCAGTGAATATCTCCTCGTTTTTCATGCTCCCCTGATACTTTTCGAAAAATTTCGAAATTTCAAATTTCAGTGAATACCGCCTCGATTTTCATGCTCCTCTGATACTCTTTTCAAAATTTTAAATTTTTCAATTTCAGTGAATGCCTCCTCGATTTCCATGCTCCCCCGATACTTTTTTGAAAATTTTGAATTTTCAAGTTTCAGTGAATACCTCCTCAATTTTCATGTTCCCCTGATACTTTTTCAAAAATTTCGAATTTTTACATTTCAGTGAATACTTCCTCAATTGTCATGCTCTCCTGATACTTTTTCAAAAATTTCGAGTTTTCAAATTTCAGTGAATACCTCCTCCATGTTTATGCTCCTTCGATACTTTTTTGAAAATTTTTCATTTTTCAATTTCAGTGAATACCAATTTCGTAAGGTAGAAAATAACACTCATCCTGTCGACTGGTTCCTCTGACCGCGGGACTGCTACTGAGTCTGAGGCAGTTACCGAGTTGGCTGACGGGTAGACACCCCCATAGAGTGTGGCGCCCTCCCTCTCTTGGGGTGCAGTACTACGGTGCCGCTGAGGGTCACTCAAACCCCCAGAACTGAGCCTCTACTTCAGTAATCCTCTTTGAGAGAATCCGTGAACATGCACCACCACAGAAATCCGTGAGCCATTAAACTTCGACAAAAGATACATTATTTTTTATTTTTAATTAGGTAGAAAGGGAATCGAGATAATTTTGCAATAATCGTTATTTTTATTTCTGCAAAAATTAGTCATTTTTTTGGTTTCTTTAAAAAAATTATGCCGATGTTGTGCTATCGGAGATTTTAAATGAATCAATCTCAATTTGAAATGTTTATTTCAGTCTGATGAATTCGAAGATGAACGACGATTATCAATAATTGCCTTCACTGATTGAATTTTTACAATGATTTTGAGATTTTTTATTTTTGGGGACTGAAATTCATCGAATTCTCTATAAATATATCTACGAAATTCGATGGAAATTTCAGTTTTCATTCATTCGCGAGTTTTCAAAGCTGCGTCAATTAGAAATTGAGAAAACATTGCAAGATATTGTAAATAATTTATTGAATCATTTTTTTACATTCTTTTCACCTTTCAAAACTATGTTGTATTTTTTTTCTAATCCTAAGTGAATTTGATGAAATTACATATTTTTTAAGCGCGAATATATCTATTAAAATTGATGAATTTGATTTTTAATAATAAAATGATGAGACTTTCTCCCGATAAACAGAATCGTTAAAAAAATGAATGTATTAAAAAATCGTGAATTAAGAAAAATCACTGACGCTTGTCGAGTTTTTATTATCAACATTATAGTATACAGTGAAACAGATAATATACAATCGAATAGTGTCGTTTTACAATGCAACGGCCCTCGTAAAAGCTTTTCTTTCTTTTTTTATCACTTGCTATATTTACTTTGCAGTACAATTTAAAAAATCGCAGCGCTTCTTTAAATTCATTTCATACTCATTCGTGTTAGTTGAAATTCGTTACTTCATCTTCACTCCATTATGTTAGAGTTTTTAGTTGCGACGGAGACTGGCTCTCAGTCATGCCATTGAAATCAGAAAGCGATGTACTCTCTGAGCTGCTGATTAATGTCGGGTTTTAGAGATGCAATCATTTGGTCGAATTGATTTTGACTCATGACCTTTCGAAGTGCGATCATCTGAAACATCAACAAGACAATCAATAATTATTCTAACGAAACACCACTGAAACTTTTTATTATTTTTTAATACAAAATTAATTGCTACTCCATTTTACCCCATTGTCCTCGAAGGAATTTTCACAACTAAATCACAAACTGATTCAAAAAATTTGTATTTTTAATTATATTCGTGCAAACTTGGCAAATTCTTGGCTATCAATATTTCGATCTGCCATTTCTTAACAAATTTTCCTCTTTTCGTCATCATTTATTACTATTATATTATATCTTGTTAAAATTATAAAGTTACAAAATTTATTAATGACATATACTTTCGACAATCTCCAATTAACTAGACGAAAACATCCGAAACTAGTTGTTAGAGTCAGCACTTCATTTAGTTTATAATTTAATTAAAATTTAATAAAAAATCTGTACCGATCCTTCGACAGTGATGTTTATTCAAAAATTAATTCGATGGTATAAATTCGTACGGAGGTATCTCTACTTCTGATAAAATTACCTATCTCTCAATAATTTATAATAAACGAAAATAGAAAATAAAAAAAAAATGGAAAACCGTCTTTACCTGATTTTCGAGTGTTTGCCTGAGACACACGGTGTGAACAATATCGTTCATTTTGATCTTGCGTAATTCGTTCTTGACGCTGCCCTCCGGCGTGTCCTCCCTATAACAATCCTCACCAGGTGAGCAATTATCATAAACAAGAGTATCGACCTCAGGTTTAGAATCATCCTCATTTGCCATGATATCGTTAAGTCCATCCGTGAGGTACGCGATAATTTTCGAAAACTGTTGGAAAACCACAGCAGGACTATTAATATCAAGGAGCGAGCACAAAGCAAGCCCAATCAACTTAACATCCTCATTCAACCCACGGTGATCAATCGCGCAGACCTCAATGAGTCTTCCTAGCACAGTTTCACTAGTGGCATTGCCACCGGTTTCACTCGTGAGTTCACTCACAACCTGGGAAAACACCTCTCTGGAATTCAACAACACCCTGGCAAATATCTTGAGTGCATTATTAAGAGTTCTAGGGTTGGTGGACTCCTCCGAGACGTAAATAATATTGAAAGTCCTGGGTAAAAGAGGCTTAATGATATGTGGCCCCTCCTCAGGCAGCACCTTCAGAATCTTCTCCAGCATATCGAAAATCATCCTGAGATCCTGCTCCCTGAGATCCCCCATGATGCCCTTGATGCCCTCGATAATACTAGCTCCGATATCTCCAAGGAATGTTTCAGGACTCAGCACCACGTAATCCTGAATAACGTAGACAGCCGGCTTCAACGTGACTTGGTCGAGTCCCGCATCAAGAAGAGCTGGCATATTCCTGAGGAGATCAATGACTCCTGTAGTTATGGCTGGTGTGTTCTCGAGGAGTGCAAGCCACAGCTGCAGGCCATCCTCGAGGAGATAGACATGGGCGTCCTGATTCATATCACAACTCAGAGCAATCATACCAACGATAACAGGTTCCAGGATGGCACTCTCAGGTCCCAAGGCTTTCTCGTAATGTACAAGAGTCGAGATAATTGCGCACCTCAGCATATTGTGATCCTCAGAGATCTGCCACAAGGATGGCAGATAATTCGTGAATGCAGCCAGATAGGGCTTTATGTGCTCACCAATCCTCTCAATCATGAAGGAGATTACGTAGAGGACCTGCATCTTTGTGTCGCACTCGGTGGCTTCCCTCAGTAAATTGAAGAGAAGATTGAACGATGTCTCGAGGTATGGAGCAAAATCTGCCCTGTCAAATTGCCAATCATCGAGTGCTCGTTTGAGGGTATCACTTGCCTCAATTCTCACAACGAGATCTACCTCGGGCCCAAGGGCTTCCATTATCATTTTATACAACTCTGGCCTCAAGTTCCCACTGAAGTTCACACCTATCCACTTACCGATCAACCAGCAAACCCTTCTCTTAACGATTCTGTAGTTACTGTTGGAAACCTTCATCTCCTGCTTTAACGTCGTGGAGAACCAAGTGTTGAAGTCAACGTCGTCGTAGAGGTCAGATGCAGCGAGACCGATGGCGTGATAGACAGCGTCCTTCAAGAGCATTCCGTGAAAATCATTGGGGTCCACGGGTTGGTGATACCTCTGCATGAGCTCCACTAGGATTGAGACTAGTTGCTTTCGGAATTGAGGGAAGAAGGAAAGGAATAGGGATTCCACGCAGGGACGAAGACTGTACTTCCAGGAGTCCCTGGAGTCGTCCACTGCGTAATTCTCGGGATCGGTGTTCCAGAGCTCCAGGTCGGACTGGGTTAGTAGGAAGTACCTGGTGACCAACCAGGAGCTGATCTCCTTGAGGATCTCCGGTGTGAAGAATTCTTCTTTGAGCTGCTCACCTCGATAGGCTAGACGATCTTTTGGGCCGTCCGAGTCTTTGGAGATGATTATACCTAGGGGACGTTCGACCATGTAGTCGGGCTTTATCAGAATGTCCTTCATAATGTTCAGGCACTGGATGACAAATTTCTCGAAGACGAAGGGCTGGCCGGCTTCCGTGAAGCAGTAAAACACTGAAAATTCTAAGGATGAGGGGATGAGCTCGACGTAACAGCTTGGGTGGCGCTCCAGTGTCCCGAGCATTACTTTCGTCAGTTGAATGATAAATTTTTCGCACGAGGTGATTTGCATCTCTCGACACATCATTGTTTTTCGACACTCGAGGGCAGCTTTCGCTCGGGAGAATGTGACTTTGAGGAACATAATGGCGTCTTCGGATTTCGACAGATTTGGAAAACCGTTGACCAGAAGATTTCGCAGAATTCGCAGGAGGAGGAGGGCCTTCTCCAGGGCCTCTAGCACTTGGGGCTCGTCAGCACCTTGTGAAAGGAGAATGAGGAAGGATTCGGTGAAGGTATTCCAGAGGTTTAGAATGAAGTTGAACATGTTGGTGGTTAATTGTTCGAAGAGTTGCTTGTCGGCAGCAAGGCGCTTTGAGGCGAGGGTTTTCACTACGTGGTGGAGGATCAGGAGAGCACGGTGTTGGGCTATTGAGTTTTGAGAACCGATTGCATCGATCAGGGTAGGTATCAGGCTGTCCCACTCACGGGGACAGTCTAGCCGCGC